TCTCTCGAACCAGTTGTTCAAGATTTTCAACACGTTGATCATTAGCATTCTGTTCAGCTTGAAGCTGCCCCCCCTCTTAGTATGCAAAGCATTTAGAGAAGAGCGAATCGCCAAAATTTCTTGATCAACAGAAGACTTTTGTTTTTCCAAGCTTTTTCGATCTGTATCTTGAGTAAAAACTCTATTTGCATAATCTTGTCTAATTCTCACCAATTCTTCATCGGATTCTAAAACAATCGATAAGATTGATAAAATTATACAAACGGAATCAATGAGTGGATGATTTGTGGACCCAAAATTTATATTTACCGTGCATCTCACTTAATGTGCTTGACAATTCTTCAATTTGTTTCTCTACGGCAGTCCTTTCCTTATTTTTTATGATCAGATCTGAATTGATATCATCTAATTTACGAATTGTTTCTATTAATTCATTAATTTCTTGACTATTTTTATCCTTTTGTTCATTAAGAACAACCATTTTTTGTTGTAATTCTTCAGCTCTTGCTTGATCAGAATTCAAACGTTCTTCTATCTTAGCAGCTCTTTCTTTTTCAATCCTTAATTGTTCTAGAGAAATTTTATCTTCACGGAGTTTCTGAGCCTCTTTTTTTTCGTAATTCAGTAATATTCGCTATCGCTTTAGTCCATCTAGTTGCAGAAAATATCTCATCGAAACGTTTTTTCAAAGGAGCAGGTTCAGATAAAGGCCAAGTTGATTCTTCTTGGTGACAAAAAATAACATTATCCAGAACTGCGCGCGATACTCCAAGAAGAATAGGGATATCACGGTCCACATCTCCACAACGACCTGTAAGACTAGCCTTCTGTAAATTTTTAGGATCAACTACTTGTAATAATGTCTCAAGGGTTGACGCCCTGATAAGATTAGTTGAAGTAACCTTTGCTTGCATTGATCTAGTGCAAGTAATTTTATGGCCATGAACACTGTTAAATTCTAGCTTTACTTGACCCTTGACCTCAGCTTCGTCGACAAGTGTTGGATCATGAATAAAAGCACCACCAATTTTAGCCCCTGGTGGGAGGTCGCCTGTGGTCGCGTATTTTAAGCATTCTATTATAGTTGTTTTTCCAGATCCATTGGGACCAACAATAATAGTGAGAGGTGTCTGAAAACTGACGACCTGTGGTCGGACAGGGTTAAAAGAGCGAATTCCATATATTTGAATCCTTTCTAATGAAGACATTATTATATTATTAAAAGTTTTTTATACTATAATACTTTCAACAATCATGTGAGCACGAAATTTAACGATAACGATAATGCAGGTAATGATATCAGGAAACTATAATTAAAAGATTTGTAGATCCTTGAATAGTGTCTAATCTAGGCAGCCAATGAAATTTCAAGAATCCTTTATTCACGCGTTTATCTTTTCGCGACGTGATGTTTAATGATTTGAACTAGTGATTAACTAGTGATACAAATCGATGAAAATTGTTCAATCGATTAGTTGAATAAAATAATAAATGTAAATTAGCAATTGAAAAATCGATCAATCAGATTAATTGACCAGTCGACCATCGATTAGCTTTACAACTAATCGATTAATTCGATTCTCGATTTGTATCACTGTTTTCGAAATGGTTAAAATCAGAGATAAAAAAAAAAGTTTCGCGTATACTTGTACCGTATACTGTGTATACTCATATACTGGATTACTCAGGTACGTACGTGCTTAGTATATGATTTGAATTGACAATGATGTATACGCGATTGACAATTGTATATACGCAATTGACAATTGTATATAT